GCAGCCGGCGGGGGTTTCCCGCAGCCTCCCCTCCCCTCCCCGGGCCGGCGGTGCGGGTTAGCGCCTGTGCTGCCTTCACGCACGAACAGGCGAGTTCCTGTGTCGCTGCTCCAGAGCAGGTATTTTCGTTAACTGTTACCGGAGTTACGCAAAGGGCAAGGTCTTCTTAAAAACGATGCAAAATCATACAGGTTCGCTATATTTTTTTCCCCCCAAGGAACAAGTGAAAAGGCTGCGAACAAGTTTATCTAAGGTTTCCACCTATTTCTTTTCAGTTTGCGTACTCTGCTCTGGCGTTTTCGATCTCTTCCTTCTCCGCGTGGGCAGGTTGCCTTTATCACTGTTTCATTCACACGGAATATAGGACTGAAATAAGTGTTGTGCGGTTTTCTTTGGTAAACTAATTCGATTTCAAACCGATTATGCCTTTGTAACGTCGTGTGAAAGCGGGAATGCATCTGCCCGCATTAGAAATACTGCAATAGAAATGCTTTAGAAATAATGTAAATACTCTGCCTTCCCCTCACACCCCCATTTCCAGGTCTCTCCGCACGCCAGGCAGCAAGCGGGTGTCTGCAAAGATTACCGCAATTGCCTTAAAAAACCAAACCTCTTTCTTGTAAAACTTTAAAGGAGATTACATGGAACCTGGCTGTTGCCCAGAGGCATTTTACTGACTTCAGTTTTCAGCAACAGTCCTTCGGACCGGGAGGTTTGGGCGACTCCTCGGTGTACAGGGAGAGCGGCAGCCGGAGGGTGCACCCTGATCGCACCCCTGTGAAGAGTGACGCTGCCCAGGCCCCCCGGTGCGTGACAAAGGCGACCTTGGCTCAGGAGCCACCGTGTCTTGGCCGCGCACGTGTGCGCACCTACAGCAGGTCCTGCGGTTCTGCGTAGCAGACTTCCGCGGGCCGTTCGCTGTATGTATGCGATGGGAAATCTGACAGCGAAGAAATAAATTCAGAGGGAAATCTCTCACTTCCACAGCTGAAACTTTGCCTTTTTTTCTCCGTAGGCCCAGGATTTCAGCCGATGCGGATGTGCAGCTCCTAAAACAAACTTCTACTTCAGGCGGCGCCCAAGGAAATGAGGTTTTTAGGTACGTGCATTTCTATGTGCTGTGTGTCACCCAAAGTCATTCTAGTGCTACATTTGGTTATACACCAACGCGGCAAAATCAAAACTGCATGTAAACCGGCCTCGGTCCTGTGTTTCGGTGGATGAGCAGGTATTTATACTAACCCGCTCTGCCTGCATCCTTGTGTAATTCGGACTTTTCCAGTAATCGGGGAAGGCTTCTTCGTTTCAGTGGGATTTCGATGGGATGGCAGATGAGAAATCCTGCTGAGAAACCTGAAACGCCAGGCTCTTCTGCCGTATTTCATGATTGTATTGACTCTGCGGTGGCAATAGAGGTGATTTTTTTTTTTTTTTGCCACAAAAATGCATCTAGATCCGACTGTGACTTAACACAGTGAGAAAATACCAAGAAAAAAGCACATGGGACCTCTTTTTTATTTTAAGTTAAAGGAAATAGCCAATTTAAGGACTGTTTTTCAGCCCTCACTTAAGACAAGCTCGCGTAGACTTAATGTGAGTTTTATTTTATATAGGTCATAATTATCACAATAAAAAAGAATAATGAGATTTTTTCCTTTGGTTTACAGTTATAACGCACACAGAGTATTTCACAAATAATTTCAGTCTAAACTGTACTGCTATTTAAGAGAACGTTATCTGATAAAACTCTGCGAGTCAGATTAACAGCAAGTTAATCACAATAAAACACCAAAAAAAAAGGTCTTCTAAAACCATCAAATTTGAGCATTGCAAAAAAAGATTATTTAGAAACCTTTCCTCTTCTCTGCTATAAATCCTTGACTTGGCTCATTGTCTTGGGGTTTTTGCCGTTATCAGCCGCAATTACACAGGGACATCAGTGGGACTTCAGCACTGTGCCTGAAATGCTTTGCAAAATCAAGGCCTGACTTCTGTAAACGTAGATCTTCAGTCATTTACATGCATTGATTTTATTTAAATTTTTAAAGTTACATAGTGTTTGAATGAAATTAAAAGTTTTAATAACTTGTTCTTACCCTTGTTGTCTAGCTGGGCCATCACAGAAACAGCCGCTCCCAACACGTGAAAGCCGGCTCTGTCTGAGGCGTCTAGAAGGGCTGCTTGACTGAGGACAAGAGGATCAGGTATTATTTTAGCTAAGAAGTGCTGCGCTTTGGGGAATATTGATTGAATTGCATTTTACTGTGGAACTGAATGAATGAAAGGACTGTGAGTTTTTTTGCAGGCAGAGCTGACTGACCGTCTCTTCTGAAAGTTGAGAAAAGACCTTGCAGTCGTTATTTTCAGCTTTGCTCAAAAGGAGCTTTTTGCTGTTGTTTTCAAAGGCTTCTTTTGCCCCCCAATGGCCAAAATCCAGTTTACAAGATGCTTTTGATGTTTGAAAACGTAGAAGCTACGGGATAAGCATGGAAATTCCTGAGTAGCGTTAGGGGTGGGAGGACAGAAGTCGGTTCCTGATCCTTTAAAGTCATGGACCGAGCTTCATCCTTCAAACACTCGTACTATGCTCTGCGGCTCCATTCAGCGCTGCATCTGAAAATGGTATTTTTCTTTCTGTAATCCAAGGAGCACTGACCGCTTAAAAGACCGTCGATAAAATGATGGCAGGTAAATAGAAAATATACACAGAGTTCCATGTGCCAAATTATACAAATAATGTGGGCTACTAGTGATTCAAAGAAATTGCTCTGTGTAATACTGTCCCCCCCCCAAAATTAAATCTTTGAAGAGCTTAACTTCTGTTTCTGTACCTGTGTGTGACATCAAATTTATAAGCAGCGGGCGGAGAAGCAGCTCACCCAGCTGCACAGCGGCATCCTGGCTTTTCCTGGCACGGGCAGCACTTGCATTTCTGATAATCTTTGTGTTTAGAAAGCATTCGCTTCAGCACAGCATAGCGGCTGGCTTTAGAGACGCTCTTGTTTGGTTGCAGGACCCTCCCTGCCGGGGAAGTCACCAATGGACTGTGGACACTTAGCTGAGAGCAGCGAGGAGATCTCCGGCCTGGGCGCAGAGCCCGATTCCCTGCTGCCTTCTGCCGCCGGCAGCAATTCCTGCCCGCCCTCGGCGGGCGGGCAGCGGGATGGGGCACCTCTCCCGCCACTAACGCCGCTCGAGAGCGCAGTCGGGTTCAAACCCTGCGCCATGCCTTCCTCGAGCTGCAGAAGACGCTTCCCTCTGTGCCGCCCGACACCAAGCTCTCCAAGCTGGATGTACTCCTCCTGGCCACCACCTATATCGCACACCTCACTCGCAGCCTTCAGGATGAGGAAGAGTCACCGGGAGAGGGCTTGGGTACCCTTCGAGGGGATGGATACCTCCACCCTGTCAAGGTAGGAGAGCTGAGGAGCAGCTACCGCCTTCTCTCGGTGAAGAAGTGAATAGGTGTTAAAGATACTTAGATGAATCTAGAGATTTCAAGCTTATTTACCTTGCCAGAGTTAATAGATGAAAAGGCTGCCTAGACTAACCATTGCCTCTAGGCGCTAGGGGCCTGATGGAAACGTCCCAGAGCTTTGTCCCTCTAGCTTCAGGGACTGCGCACAAAAATATCAACTATGGTGTAGGTCCAAACCTAGTGGGACTTGGTCCCTTGGAAGTGAAGGCGGAGGGCAGCACCAGAGGAGTACCAGCCCCTCCTCGGTCCCTGCCTGGAAACCTCGGCGATCCCCACCAACCCCATCAGAACTGGCTGTAGGGGATGCGTGTGGTTGAGGTGACGTGCTGTCCCACAGCGGCGATACCAGCCGTGGCTGGGCCTGCTTTGGTTCTCCTGCCGAGGCAGCCAAGGTACAGGAAGTGGCGTTAATTACTGGCCATGTGTTAATTCCTTCTACGAAAGTGCTTTTCTGATGCTTTTATTTCGTCTAGCTGGTATACCCTGTTGTTGCTCTTCCCTTCATCAAAAAAATTCACGGCGATGCAGAGGGGATGAGAAGGGAACTGCTCTTGGAGAGGACCTGGGGCTGGAAACTGGTTTCACATGCATTGCTCAGTGACCGACGGGACTCTTAAATACCACGGGGTATTTTCTTTGGCTCTGGTCTCAGGGAGTGAGTTAGAGCACTGGCGTGTTTCTTTCTTCTTAAAGTCTGGTGAATTCAGAATGATTTAATTAAGATTAACTTGTGAAGTAATCTCTAATTCCTATAAAGTGACTAATTCAGAGTGTTTCTTGTTCACAGCGTTGGTCGCTGTAAAAAGCGTGATGTGAACGTAAGCTTCTGAGGCTGTTTAAATGATTAGCAGGCTCATTAAGAAAGCAAAACCTTTACATCAATTAAAGATGGCTATAATTTTAAGGAAAAAAAATACCGTGATGTATTTCAACATAAGTTTGAAGTAGCTTCTGTTAGTTCCCTTGGTCAGAGTGAAAGGATACAGGTCTTTTACGGTACTTCTTATCAGCTGCCAACTATTACTGGCAGAAAAATACTTTTAAATAGTTATTACAGCAGTTAAATGATCCAGATGCACATTTCCCAGGCTACTGGAATACAGCAGTACTGGGTTCATCTAGCAATTATTTTTGATAATCTTATTTATGTGCCATTCACCGGTATTTAGTTTTGTAACAATTCTATGAGTGTAACCAATCTTTCTCATATTCCTGGTAGTAAATTAATTTTTTAGTTGACACTAGAACAAAAGCGTCACAGACAAATCATAGTACATGCCTCAAAAAAACCCCCGAAGTGCAGGATAAGAGATGACAAGTACAGATGAGGACTGTAACTACACTCATATCTCAAGCACAGTAAATACAAATAGTGAGGAAAGTAAAATATCCAAGTACAGTTGTGTTTACACCGAGCAAAAAATATGGTTGATGACTTTAAACGCGGATGTCTTACCGGCGACAAATTTGTAACGTTACTCTTGAAATAAAAATACTGAATGAGGTCGCACAGTCCTTCCAACTGAGAATATGCTGCTCCTCTGTGTCCTTAAATAGAAGAGCTGAGATTTAACTGCAGTATTAAGCCCCTCTGTTTTCAGAGCTCCCTTTCATTACACACCAGAAAGGTTGCCAGCCTGTTCCCCAAAGCGCCTTAAAAACCAGTATTCTTTTGGAACAACACGCTGGCTGTGTCTCAGGTATTTTTGCATCAGATGCGTATGACAAGTTGTCTTTTCAAATACCCACCTCTCTAATAATGAACTCGGCACGTCAGACTGGAGCTGAATGCTCCCTTCCAAGAGAAGGGCACGCGGCTGCAGTCACCCTTACTGCAGGGCTGTTTGCAGTAAGTAACTTGGTCGGGTTAAGAAACTCGAGCTATAGGAACAGATACGTAACACCAATGCAAGCGATTTATTCCAATAATTGCTGAATGGAAAGATGAATTGTCTCATCTGAAACCGTTGGAGCTGACAAAGAACGAGAAGCTGTCAGTGCCGAAGACTGCCAAGGAGCAATTACACTAAATTCCCTCTAACGCAGCCTCTGGCAGCCCCTGTGCTGCGGTCGGTGTTGCGGGGGCCGGCCGGCACGAACGGGTACGCGCACGGGGCTGCAATCTCTGCAGGCGTTGGTATGTCCCCATAGCATCCCTGGCAAAGAGGAGTGCTTTGTTTTATTCTACCAACAGAGCGTCTGCTATACAAATTGTGGCACGGTGACTGATCGGCATGACTTACTCCTGTGCGTTGGGTCCCGGGGGGTTTAGGAGCTGTGCCTCATGATTAATTACCAAAGAAAAGACTCAGGCTGAGGTTCCCTTACCCAGCTTCTAACGACATTTTCCAACAGGTAACAAAATGGGGACTTTCTGGCGATAGCAACAGTTTCCCGTTTTCTCACGTTGTGGTTCCATCAACACTTAAAGCTTTGAGAACCGCATTCAGGCTGCGCGGTTCCCATGTGTCTCAGCGCTGTGCTTGTCTCTTCTCTTGCAGAAGTGGCCAATGCGTTCCAGGTTATACATCGGAGCTACAGGGCAGTTTTTGACTCACTCGGCACAAGGAGACGGCGCAAACCAAGGAGAAACATCAACAACTTCACCAATCTAATCTCCCTTCTTGCTTCTAAAAAAAATGTTATTTATTACACCTTATATATATATATTTAAGTTAAAAAATAGTATCTACAGACAAACTATAATTCCTGAAGTGCTGTTCGTAGAGAAGGAATTCATTCTTAAATGTAATTAATACCTCATTAAGTTAATGTGACGCATCATTGGTTTCTATCATGGAGGACATTGCTGGGATCTGAATTGGGGGAAATGAAGGCGATTGCAGCCAGCGCCAACAGGAGAGGCAGCCACAAAGGCAGAGCTGCTAGCAGAGTAGGTAACCTCACCCCCTGCGGGACGAGCGGTGACTGGGTATGCTGTGGAAAAGGGGGGAGAATGAGCGATGCAGTATCGGCTAAGTACAGAGCAGTACAGGCTTGGGTGAGAAGCAAAGGGCGAGTCTGAGAATAGCCATCGACATCCCGCGTGCGCTTTCTTCACCGCACGAAGCTGATGGCCGAAACCCCCCTGACCGCAGCCATCGGGTCAGGGCTTCATCCTTTGGATAATCTTAAATGTACGTAGTTATTCCTGAAAACGTGGATGCATGTTCACCCCGAGTAAAAATGTGCCGAAATCTGTCCTGCGTACGCACAGCGCTAGGTACAGCGGGCACAAACTGCCCTGTACGCCAAGTGTTGCTTGCGTTGATCCGCGCGGGTGTGTTGCATGTTACAGGGTTTAAAATGCGTTTGTTACCCCAGTACAAGTACTTGTCCGCTCGAGACACCAAAGTTCGTTTATCTTGTCTTTTAGCGGGTTCAAGCAAATGAGCCTTAAGAGTTGGCTTGTTCATAGCACATTTTTCACTTAAAACAGCTTCTATATTTGGGCAAGAAAAACTAATGCGCAAATACCATCTAATGTATCTGTTCTGTAAAACACTGTACTTCTCATATAGTTTGTTATTGCTGAGGTAAACATTGTATTAAATATTATTCAATGGACATGAGGTATTTGTTGAGTTGCAAAATCTGTATCAGTTTCTCGTTGTACGGGACTGATAGCTTCTACTAGCAATACTCTGCAATTATAGTAACTTCTTTCTGAAGACTTCTTCCCAGCTTACACTTCAAAAAGACATCTGGCAGAAAAGGAAAACACAAATACTAGAAAGAACAACCTTCATATAGACATATAAAATCATTTTATTGCTTTCATTCTTGAGTCAAACTTGTGACATCTTTCAGAGGCGCTGAGCACGTCATTGCAAACCGAGTGTCCACTATCGCAGAAAACCAGGCCTCCGGTATAAGAAAGTATGTAAAAGAAATTAGCAGAGCCGTTAGAAAGAGTTGGACAAACCAGCTAGGATCTGTGAGAGTTGTAAAGCGTGGTAAAATCTGGAACTCCCCTCCACCCCTGCAGCATTCTGAGTTTTTAACAAGATTATTCTTTTAAATAGTAAAAATACTTTAAATGGTTTAAACATATATAATTAAATAATATATAATTTAATGTATTTAAACTATTTTAGGCATGTATTTATTTACAATTTTAAGTGGCTTATTATGAGAACGATGTAGCCAGAACACCATTCAACCACACAAACTACTGTATTTTGTGAAAAAATATATACAAAAGGGCAGTTTTGCATAGACCGGTATCTACCCTTACATAAATAAGAGTCTGACTTTTTAAAGAACTGTGCTCACTTTCCAAAGTAGTAAAAAGTGGGTTAGCGAAACCTCTGATTATTGGGACAGCTGTTTGTATTCAGAGGTATTAATGAGGAGATGCGAAGGATGTGTAAAGGTGAGGGTAGTTAAGTAAGATGAAAGCGTGACAGAACAGTGAGGGTTTCCAGGAGTACTTTGCTGTACAAGATGAAGGCGTAAGACGCAGCTTACGCTTTAGGCTGATAAAATGCCAAGCGGCAATGAGAATGCAGTCTAGTTTTGTATGTCACGAGATCTAAATGAACGGCATCGGGTCAGGGTAAAAAGGAGAAGCGAAACCTCGGCCAGAAGTCACTGTCAAACCTCGCGCTGCCACCGCGTAGCAGCGGCCTGATAATAAAAACGAACCACGTGTGAATGGCGCATACAAAATGGCGTGGGGAGAAGACAAAATGCCGTGATGTTTTGCGTCAGTTGCGTGCTCCTGCCTAGCAGAGAGGTGCTGGTTACTTTACAGGCTCTTAAATGATACACCTGGAAGGGACAGAATTGAAGAAACAAAAGAAAAAAAAAAAGGAAAAAAAAGCCCCACCTCCCCGTTTTTAAAGGCTTCTTCCATTAAATTAATTGAAAGATTCTGACTGCTTGTTCAGGAAGTAAGCATGGAAAATGGATAGGAATAAGGGTTAGAAACATGGAAAGTTATGAATGGATGGCTTAGAGAAAACACCTCTACTCAGACTTTCACTACAATACAGGCAGGGTTTTTACAGTGGACAGAAGCCAGCCAGTGAAATGGCGCAGCAAACACCGGAGCTACTTTGTACCCACAACGTTTGTACAAATTGTGGCCACATACATGACAATGGAAAGACCATTTTACAGACGTATTAAAGGACAGTAAGAATATGCATAATTACCAAAGCTGTTTCTTACTTGAGAAGAGCTCCCCATATTTATGAGTTGGGATTTATTTTTTTCTGAGACAGATTATTCTGCATCACCTGCAAATTTTTACGCCTTTTCTTCCAGAGCCAAGACACCAGGTTAGGCAACCTGCTTCCTTTGACCAGTGCAAGAGCTCTTGTCCGCCAGAAATTTACACCAGGATCAAAACAGATCCTCTGAACCTGTTTGCTTCAAACCTGATGTTTGGCTCGAACGCTGCATTTCTCAGGAAGGGTTCGTATCCTTGTGTACTGAAATACAGCAGTTTGGCATTTGGCACTGGAAATATGCGTGCATTTAGGAATAAAATTCTACAATGTTCATGCACTGAATCATAGAATGGTTTGGGTTGGAAGGGACCTTTAAAGGTCATCTAGCCCACCCCCCCTGCCGTGGGCAGGGACATCTTCAACTAGATCAGGTTGCTCAGAGCCCCATCCAACCTGACCTTGAATGTTTCCAGGGATGGGGCATCCACCACCTCTCTGGGCAACCTGTGCCAGTGCTTCACCATCCTCAGCGTAAAAAATTTCTTCCTTATATCTAGTCTAAATCTACCCCCCTTTCGTTTAAAGCCATTCCCCCTTGTCCTGTCGCAACAGGCCCTGCTAAAAAGTCTGCCGCCATCTTTTTTACAAGATATTGCTTGATGCTGCTATCAAAAGGACCCGTTTTTCACGGAGATCTTAGCAAACCTCAGTTACTGCCATCACAGCTTTTCCTTCAGAAGGATGGGGCCGGTAAACTTCACGTGGCTGTACGCAAGTAACCTGCCTACGCCAAACCTGCTGCACGCAATCTTTTTTTTTTCCTCGTGCACACAGCTGCAACTACAACGCTGTGCCCTCCAGTCATACATCGCCTTCTCTTGACACATACCCTGCCAGTCACTCCTCCTTCCCTTACAGACCCTTAGGACAAAGCGTTCATCGTGCTCGCGCAAACTAAAGAACGACACCACCAAAAAGATGAACTTTCCACGGCTTTGACTTCTAAAAGACCGACCGTTCGGTGAGAACGGCAGCATTTTAAGGCTGAGAACGCTGGGTTGGATGAAGAACGCTCCTTGTTGTACGCCAGACACCCACAGGGAAAGGGACCGCGCTCCCACCTCAGGTAGCCTCGTTTACGTTCTTACCCCGCCTGCAACAAACTCTTCGGTTTTCTCAGCGAAACCG